GGTCAACAAACAGTCTGACAGTCCCAACTACCAACTCCACGGGAGATGACCCAATAAACGTCTGCCCTCTACTTTCAATAAAACCACAACATTGCCCGACTTTTGGGCCAACCCACCAATGCTTCAACATTTGCATTTCGTGCAAATGTGTTTCCCACTTCTAGCAAAAACCTATCACAAGTCGTTAAAAACTTTCCACCAAAAAATTAAAAAAAAAAGTCGTTAAAAACTCTACTTGGCACTAATTTTATAAATTATACCATGTTAAAGAGGTTCAAAACTTTTATTTAAAAAAAAAAACTGTTTTACAAGGTGAATTATATGTAATTCATCTTATAAAATTAGTCAAATACTTTTAATTTTATTTTTATATTATTTTTTTATAAATATTTATATAATTTTACAAAATAATCTACATACAATTTGTTTTGTAAAATAATTTTTAATTTAACCGTCCATCTTGTAAAATAATTTTTAGTTTATTTTTGGATGAAAATAATCCATGATACATTAGTGTAAGAGATGTTAAAAATTTCTTTTGGTGTAAAACGAATTCGTTTAAGGAATTAAATTTTTTATAATTTTACATAAGCACAAAATTAAAGTTACAAAAAAATATTATTTAAAAAAAGAGAGAATAAATTGAATCAAATAAAATAAGAAAAGAGAAGACAAGATGACACTTAAATGGAAGACAATTGGATAGTATCACGTCCAATGCTCTTTTCATTGGCCAAGAAATTCTAGTTGTCTTCAAATCATGATAATTGACCAAGATTATCTTCTTGTTTTCTTTTGTTTTTATTTCGAAAGTTAGTTGTTTTATTTTACAAATATTTGAATATCTAATATAACCCTAAATTAAAAATTTTTAGTAATTGCTGTTAAATTGGTCAAATTTTTAATATTTTAAATATCATCTTAATAAGTAAAAGATTTTTTATTTTACAATTTGTATTATATTGGATTACAAAATCAAGATTCTGAAGTAAAAAAAAGAATGTTTAATATAAAAAATTCCTCTTTTAATGTAACAATTAATATTTTATAACACAATATAATTTAGATTACAAAATAATTTTTTTATAAGTAAAATAAAAAAATTTAAAAAAAAAAAAGCTTCTATGAGATTGATTTGAGTCGAAAATAGAAAGGGTGGAAGCTTGCAAGAAGTCCGTAAATAAACAGAAATAAAAGGACAAATATGCATATCACATTCTATAATAATTAGCCAAAACTTTTCCCACTGGAAGAAGGTGGAAGATTGCAAGAAGTCCGTCGTCAAATGGCGGGGAAGCTTAGCATACTTCAGCTACTTGTCCCTTTCCTCCTGTTCCAGCTTTCCCTCTCTGAGATTATCTTCGAGGAGCGATTTGAAGGTACTAACTTTAACTGCTCTTTCCCGGCACGTTTGGTTGCCAAGAAAACTCACCTAGGAAGAATGTTTTGTCACGTCAGCAATTCAAACACATCCCCAGTTTGGCTGCTAATTAACCGTTTTGTCTTGTTATGTTTCTGGGACTTTTGTCTTCTCTTTTTTTTTTTTTTTAAGAATTGTTTTTCCTCATGATTTTATTTGGCTCTGAAGGGAAGAAAAGAGAAAATTTTCAGATTTCCTGTTTGGTTGCTGAAAACCCTTTGGTGGAAAATGGTCAATATCAGACTTAATCAACTTAACAGTTAAGGGGTTATTCTCTTTTTCATTTGTTTCTTGTGGGTTATTCTCTGTTTGAACTTTAAAGTTGATGTCTTTCCACTCTCACTTGGACTAATATTTTTTGTCTTGTAATTGTTTGTGTTTTTTCTTCACTGAAAGAATTTCCAACATTTTTTTTTTCTTGGGTTCAGAAATTGGATGCCTTTATTCTTAATTCCTTGCTTTCTTTTGTTTTCCCCCGCTTTTTCATTTTATTCCCTTGTCTTTTGAGAAGATGGGTGGCAAAGTAGGTGGGTGAAGTCTGACTGGAAAAGAAGTGAAGGGAAAGCTGGATCATTTAAGCACACAGCTGGAAAGTGGCCTGGAGATGCTGATGATAAAGGTATGAACTCGCATTTTTCTGCTAATTAGATTCCATGGTGAAGATTGAAGAATGCCGTTTCAAGTGAAATTAGAAAATATAAGAACTGAAGTCCTGAGTAATTATGTATTTATGGTATAGATTGCTTATGATTAGTGTTGATTTGATGACCGATTGGGGGTGTTTTTGATGATTTTGGTGATTTTGTAGGTATTCAGACATCTAATGATGCCAGTCATTTTGCAATATCTGCACAGATACCAGAATTTAGCAATAAGAACAGGACATTAGTCCTCCAGTACTCCATAAGGTTTGAACAAGACATTGAATGTGGTGGTGGTTACATAAAACTTCTATCTGGGTTTGTAAACCAGAAGAAATTTGGAGGGGATACCCCATACAGGTCTGTTTCTTCAAAACATGCTTAACTAAATAAAACTGTGATTTATGGAAGAAATTTTTCTCTTGACTAACATGTTTCTTTTGTAAAGTTTAATGTTTGGACCAGATATATGTGGCACGCAAACAAAGAAGCTCCATGTTATACTTTCTTACCAGGGTCAGAATTATCCCATCAAGAAGGAGTTGGAATGTCAAACGGACAAAATGACTCATTTCTACACCTTTATTCTTCGCCCTGATGCAACTTACAGCATCCTCATTGACAATCGTGAAAGGGACTCAGGAAGCATGTATACTGATTGGGATATTCTTCCTCCACGAAAAATCAAAGCTGTCAATGCGAAAAAGGTTTTGTTTTTAGCTTAACAACTTAATGATCATTAGCTTGGATGATCTAATGGAACAACTCATATATAAGTCATTTCTTTGGCCAGCTCGTTTAAAGATTGGTCTAGGACTAGGATTGACCTACCATTCATAACAAAAAGCAATTAAGTGAGTGTTTTTTTTTTTTTTTTGGGTGAACGACTAAATTTCATGCATCCAACTGCCATCTCTAGCAGCCTGCTGACTGGGATGACAGAGAATATATTGAAGATCCTGAAGATGTCAAACCAGAGGTAACAAACTGTTGATATTGATCTTAATGAATACCCTTAAGGTTTATCAACTTAGGTTATAATGATTAATGTACCTGCGCTGCTCGTTTTGTATCTGGTGCTACAGGGATATGATTCAATTCCAAAAGAAATCTCTGATCCAAGTGCTAAACAAGTGAGTTGGCTGCTTTAGAATTATTATTTTTTTTTTTCCAATTCTCAGGGGTCACTGACGAAGACTGAACTCATTTTATTTTCCTCTCAGCCTGACAACTGGGATGAAGATAAGGATGGTGTTTGGAAACCACCAAAGA